GGGGGGCGGGGAGGTGGGATTGGCAGTAGTGGGAAACTGTTAGGGGAGGTGGGAGGAGCACACCTCATCAACAAGGGCACCTGCACAATGAATATTTGCATGCCTAACCCTGAATTGTTCCCCACAATTTTAAAATAAAAAAATTGAAAAGTTAAACATAAAGAGAAAAAAAGTCAATTATAAAACACGTAAATATATGTATGTAATATATACACACATGATATAGTATTTTGCAAACAAAGATGCTTTTAAATATAACAAAACGTCAAACTGGATACGTATACATATATAAGGAGTGGTCACAACAATGTACAAAATAAAATTACTGATCCAAAGAGTACCTTAAAAAGCAAACATATAAATGCATAACACAAAACAATATAAATCACAAAAAGAAAAAAATCTACCAAAATTTTAATGAATCTGTTTCTAATTGGAGGACCTATGGAGGATGCCTCGTTTCTTCTACTCTTCTGTATTTTCTCACTGTCAAACCGTTTATTACTTTTGTCAAGATAAAAACAACAAAAGAGAACAACGAACCTTTATGTTTTAAGTTTAGCAAACCAACCATTGGAAAGGCAAGAAAAATACCCAGTGTCATCGTGTAATGGGAAAAACCAACTCAAGTTGGGGACTATTCTTGGTCCCAGCACAGACAAGTGGTCGGAGCCATGACCTCCCACCATGACCATGCTCCTCCTGCCAAAGAACCATGGGACGACAGTGGACAGGACGAGGCGTGAGAGACACACAGGGCCACCATCAAACCACACCACAGGCCCTTCCATCTGCCTCATGGGATTGGAACCTCCCTCAGAGTGCGAGGGTCCGCCAAATACTTCTTGCCAATCTGCAGGGCCTCTGAAACTGACTTCCGCAATGCTGGATGCTCGAGCCGACGAATGCCGACCACAGTGTCTCCATAGATAGCGTCCTCCACCCTCAGGCCTCCAGTGTGTGTTCCTCAACAAGACAGTGCCTCCCTAAGCTTAGCTAACCTAGGTCCTAATCACCACATAACACTAAGGATAATGACGGCCATAAGCACAAAAGCATTGTATCATCATCTGTCTCCCCGCATCCACACTTGCTCCCAGCATCATCTCCCAGTGGTCACTGGTGATTTCGTGTAGAGATGGGGTCTTGCCATGTTGCCTAAACTGGTCTCGAACTCCCGGGTACTAGCAGTCCTCCTGCCTCATCCTCCCAAAGTGTTGGGATTACAGCAATGAGCCACCACGCCCGGCCTGGTTCACTTCTTCACCTCCTGCAAGTCTATGGTCAAATGCCATCTTCTCAACGAGGCGTACACTGACATGCTACTTAAAATCACAAGTAGCCGGGTGCGGTGGCTCAGCCTATAATCCTAGCACTTTGGGAGGCCGAGGTTAGAGGATTGCCTGAGCCCGGGGGTTCGAGACCAGCCTGGGCAACTTGTTGAGACCTTGTCTCTACAATAAATCACGAAAACTAGCCAGGCGAAGTGGCATGTGTCTGTAGTTCCAATTACTTGGAAGGCTGAGGCAGAAGGATCACCAAAGCCCAGCAGGTGGAGGCTGCGGTAGCCGTGAGTGTCACTGCCCTCCAGCCTGGGCGACAAGAGAGACTCCAACTCAAAAAAAAAAAAAAAATCACAAGCGCACCCACCCCTACCTCTGTTCCATGGCATTTACCACCTTCTAACACACTATATAGTTTTGTTTTTTTTTTTTGAGTTGGAGTCCCACTCTGTCGCCCAGACTGGAGTGCAGTGGCACATTCCTGGCCACCGCAGCCTCGAACTGCTGGGCTCCAGCAATCCTTCTGCCTCAGTCTTCCAAGTAGCTGGAACTCTAGGCACACACTACCATGCCCAGCTAATTTTTGATTTATGGTAGAGACAAGGTCTCACCCAAGTTGCCCGAGTGGGTCTCAAACCCACGGGCTCAGGCAATCCACTCACCTCGACATCCCAAAGTGCTGGAATTACAGGCTGAGCCATCAAGCCCGGCCAATACAGTTTATTTTTCTGCTCTTGTGTCTGTCCCCTTCCCCACCAAATGGGACCCTTGCAATGGCATGGATCTTTGTGCCTGTTTCATAGACAGACCTACACCAACCACTGGGAATAAAATCAGACTCAGTAAATACTTGTTGAACCAAAGTAAACTTGGAAAAAACAAAGTGTGCTGACATAACAGTCATGAATGTCTTTGGAGCTAAAAGATGCTCTTTCAACCATGAAGTAAGAGCAATAGGCAATGAAAGAGATCTGCTCCAATCCCGACTTCGTGATAATAAGACTCCATTTGAGAACTGGATTATAAACAAGAGGCAAGCACTCGGAAAACAGCACAATAATAAGATGGAGAGCCTGACGGTTTGAAGAGCAATTTCGGTGGCCAGTTCCGGAGGTTTATTAGCCACATGACAGAAATTCCAGAAGGACAGAACAGAGAAAATGGAGGACAAGAAGTCCTAAAGAAGCACATTTAAGAGAATTTCCCATACCTGAAGGACGTGAAAGTCCAGAACCAGAGACCACATCAGGAAGATCCAGGGAGACGCTTCTACAGGACCAGAGCCAGGACACAGCACTCTAACAGCTGCTCACCAGCAGACGAGCCACCTGCCAGCCTCTCCTCCCACCTGGGGACTGTGGTCTCGGGGACCCCAGAGCCAGACCTGCAGGTTCTGCCTGCCAGCCCCAGACAGCACCCACCCCACGCTCCACCCTGGAAACCGTGGCACCATCCTTAGCTTTGTTTTCCACTTGACATCATTTGTTTGTCCTTTTTAAAAATCACGCTGGATTGTGGGCATTTTTAGAAGCCATTTCAGATTCTTTTTGGAACTGAGATGAGGTAAATTACAAGTAAAACGCCATCCACTTAAAAACCTCTACGCTCTAAGTCCATCCAAGTTGCTGTGAAGTTCATAATTATGTCCTTCTTTATGGCTGCACAATATTCCATCATGTCTATGTACCACATTTTTTTGATCTAGTCCTCTTTTGATGGGCAGCACGGTTGGTTCCATGTTTTTGCTATTGTGAACAATGCTGCAATAAACATGCATGTACAAGTATCTTTTTCACAGAGTGATTTGAGTTCCTCCAGGTATACTCCCAGAAGCTTTAAAATAAACAATTGAAAAACAAACAAACAAACAAAGAAAACCTCTATGCTGATTAAAGTTTGCTTACTAGCAGGAGATGCAGGTTGGCCTAAATGTTTCTGCATAAAAATGGGGGTTGGTGCAGCTCCCCGTTAAAGCAACAGCGAGATAAATAAGAGCGCAGCGAATAGCTGAGAATTCAAGGGAATTAAAATGCAGCTTCAAAGCAAGTTGCACTAAAGGCAGCGTGCAGGAACAGATATCCAAGTAGAGTGTGGCCTAGTTAGCAGTCTCGGTTTTGACAGACACACCATGGCCATGTGAAACGTAAATGACTGGGAGAGCTGGGCAGAGGGTGCCCAGGGGCTCTCTGAATGACCCTCCAGCTCACCCGTGAATCTCACATCATTCCCAAATAAGCGTCAAACAAACAAACAAACAAAAAAGCAATTGCTTCGCAAAGGCAGAGGGGGAGGAGACATCTGTCAAAACTCATCCAACTTTGTCCTTAAAAGGTGTTTGCAAATTATACCCCAGCAGAGTCGATAGCCCAAAAAGAAAGCAAGTCACAAAAGGAAAGAAACATGATGACACCACTTATGGGAGCCTTTGTGACACAGATGGCCACACTAAAGACAGGGTTTCTGCAGGAGCAGGAGTGACACACGCGATGCGCAGGGCAGAGTCGCCTCAGGGGAAGGCGGGGCGCTCACCTGGGGACGCCCAAACCCTGGAGTCCAGAGAAATGAAACGCGACGCAAAACTCCATTAACCAAAGTTGTGGCACAAAAGATCCACGATGACCGAGATGCCAAAAACCACATGACAGTAAGAGCAGGGTGGTGCTGTGCCATGCCACACCACACCACACCACGCCACACCAAAGCCTGAGGCAGGACCAGGAAGACTGATAGCTAAGACTTGAACTGTACCCTCTTCAATTCTGAAACACAGAGTGCTCCGAAGCACAGAGCAGCAGGAGGCCAGCGCCTGTGCAATATTTTCTGTACTTTTGTGCATTTTGTCTGCTAATAAGAGCAACAAAAAGGGCCAGGTGTGGTGACTCAGCCTGTCATCCCAGCACTTTGGGAGGCCAACGTGAGAGGATTGCCTGAGCCCAGGGGGTTCGAGACCAGACTGGGCAGCTTGGTGAGACCTCATATCTACAAAAAAAACATTAGAAAATTAGCTGGGCTCGGTGGCTCAGCCTGTAATCCTGCGCCTTTGGGAAGCTGAGGTGAGTGGATTGCGTGATCCCGCGGGTTCGAGACCTGACTGGGCAACTTGGCGAAACCTCATCTCTACAATAAATCAAAAAATCAGCCGGGCGAGGTAGCGCACGCCTGTAGTTCCAGCTACTTGGAATGCGGAGGCGGAAGGATTAGCTGAGCCCAGCAGGTTGAAGCTGCAGTGGCCATGAGCATGCCACTGCCCTCCAGCCTGGGCGACAAGAGTGAGACTTCAACTCAAAAAAAAAAAAAAAGAAAAGCAACAAAAAGTACAAAGAAAACAAAGAAGGTACTCTGTGGCTTGGTTCGCTGTTGGGCAGCTTCGTAGGCATCCACGCATACCTGGAAAGTGTGAATGGTCCTCGCCCAGGCATGCTTTATGTGACAGTGTTTCATGAGCTTCCTAAAATCCACAGTCACCTCCAAGCCAGTCGTATTGCAAATGGTCAAACGTCTTTTACATCCAAGAGTTACATCAGTCACATCCTGTCACCAAAACAAAGAACTTAGTATGTCTTCAAATATGCACACAGTGAAGATATTCTATCTTAGGGGCGAACATAAAACACAAGCACCTTATGAGTAAAACAGCACGTAGATGCATTATGACCAAGACTTTCAAAAGGCTTAAAATTCACACTTGAGCACAGAGTACATCCACACCCATTATTTTAGTCAATACAAGTAGAAGTGTTTAGTCCCTGAAGCTTGTCTTCAATTTGACTCTGTGAAGAAGAGTCTGTGTTCTTTTTTATTTTGAAATCTATATAGCTCATTTCTTGCATTGGTTATACAAGTGCACAGACTCTTGCCAAGTTTATTTTTCCTCACAGCTTTCAAAGAAGCATGAAAGTCTAGAAGGGTGTCTACACAATAAGACCAAACACAACATAGGCAGTGTCCACATTTAAGCAGCAACTAAGAAAATGTTGCCATGTAAAAGATGCATCTCACTGGTGCATTGCTTTTTGTTACTTAAACACTTCAACTTTATTTTTAAAATTGTTTCTTCACAAAGTCTTCCAGAAAATTTAAGGAGCATATCACAACTCATTTTATGAGGCCAGCATTATTCTGATACCAGCCTTATTCTGATAACTAGAAAACTATAAACCAATATTCCTCATAAACACAGATGCAAAAATTCTTAACAAAAAGTTATGGAACAAGAATGTCAACTCTGATAGAATTAGATCCAGAATCAATCCTAGGGCAAGAAAAAAAATCAAGTGTATCTCTAATCGATAAAAAGGGGTTATTTTCTGGTTTCATTTACATTTTTTATAAAAAATATTTCTCCATTGCACAGTCGAATATCACTTTCAAAGTCGTGCTTATTTTTAGCAGAACCATGAGGTACACCACTGGCACCCAGACCGTTATCTTGCTGACTTCCAGAGGAGTCTCCAGGGAGTAACTCCGAGAGGTAGGCGTTCCTGGTACAACAGATTTTATCACCAGCTCCAAATACAAGCCGATTCTGATGGTCCCTGGGTTAGAAAATAATGATACATCATCAAAGTTTGGAAAGTCTCAATTCCATGTTTAAACATGAACTGCCACTCAGACCGACACTTATCAGAATAAAGTCTACACCGTCTATCTCTCACCCTCACCCTCCAGTGGTCAACAGGAAGTCATGCTCTCACTGTGGTCACCTGATTATCTGACGTTATTTGACTCTCAGTGACATCTCCTCGGTAACAAGTCAGAAATTCTGGCATAAAGGCTGATGCCTTTCTCTCTCCTCACATTCTAAAAGTTACCAAAAGGCTTGGTGCTTTCTTCAAGATTCATTTCCCCTGTCCAGTCTCTCCTGTCATGACCCTGTTTCAGGTCTTACAGCCGCCCACGTGTTGCTATTATGGTATCATGACACTGTGTCGGAATGGCAGCAGCCAACAGGAGGGATGACGTGGCTTCCAGTCGCTGAGGCAAGTGTTGTGGGATGTGGCTCCATTCCCTTCTTCCAAAACTCTGGAGGGAATTCCACGCCCCCTCCTCACACACATGGGGAGGGGCATGGTCTGCCCCCACAGCTGGGGGTGCCGGGTATGGAGTCCAGCCTGAGGCTTCCCAGCAGGCTGCTGCGTGTCCCGCCTCAACCCACAGAATCCCCATGCCTGGGGCTGTGTGGGGTATCACCACTCAGGAAAGAGCGGGTGTTAGGCGTCTCGGAAGAAGGGCCCTGCGTGTGGGCGCAGTGGCTCACCTCCACTCTGCTGGACACGGCCCAGAGTGCGCTAACCTCTGCGCCCTGCCGCGAAGGCTCGGGGAGGCACGGCACGCAGATCATGGTTTTAACAACGTGCCTGGAGGCCTACATTCCTCTTGGAGAAGCTGGACATTGCCACAAGGAAAATGCCATCTTTCTTCCTCTTTTTAAATTTATTTTTTCTTTTCTTTTCTTATAGAAACGGGGTCTTGCCATGTTGTCCAGGCTGGCCTCAAACTCCTACACTAAGCAATCCTCCTGCCTCGGCCTCCCCAAGTGCTGGGATGACCAGCATGAGCCACTGCGCCCGGCCTTCCTATTTTTCTCCTGATTGCACTCACTCCCCAAAAGTCAATGCTAAGCACCCACAGCATGCGTTGTGAGAGATCCGTGTATTTCGCAGGTGAGGAAAAGAAGGACGTTTCGGTGCATGGCTACAGGTGACACACATCAAAGCGACCTGAGAGCGACTCCAGGGAGGACCGTCCTGGGCATGTCGGTCCAGGACACTCACCTGCTGAGGCGGTCTGTGTAGTGCTTGCAGCAACAGTCGTTGATGAGGTCACAGTCCTGCCTGGAATACATGAGAGCACAGGGTCACCGCCAGGCACTGGCCGTGCTCCTTTAAGTGGTCAGCGGGCAGGACACGCTAGAGGCCACGAGGCTCCAAGTACTTTCCCCAAGAAAAAGTCATTCTGGAACTTTTATCTTAGCAGAAACCTTTGCTCCACTGAGATTTCCTGTGACTTTCTGGATCTAACAATTAGTAGAAAGAGCCCTTTTTGGAAAGCACCCTCTGTCATGTCTAAGAGAAATACCCTAGATAAGAAACAGAAGAACCGCGAGGATGAGGCTCTCCCAGACGACAGAACCCATGTTACTAAATCAGGAGGTGCAAACGCTAGATTAAAAACACAAAGATGCCGGGCTCGGTGGCTCAGCCTGTAATCCCGCTCTTTGGGAGGCCGAGGTGAGTGAATTGCCTGAGCCCGCGGGTTCGAGACCCGCCTGGGCAGCGAGACCTCATCTCTACAATAAATCAAAAAATCAGCCGGGCGTGGTAGCGCATGCCTGTAATTCCGGCTACTCGGAAGGCTGAGTCGGAAGGATCGCCGGAGCCCAGCAGGTCGAGGCTGCGGTGGCCGGGAGCGGCCACTGCACTCCAGTCTGGGCGACAGAGTGAGACTCCAACTCAAAACAAAAAACAAAACAAAACAAAACAAAACAAACAAAAAAAAAACACAAAGACGCTGCGGACAACTTACCTTCTAAACGCAATAAATTGTGATGTTTTTGCATCTTGTAAGTCTTTTTCTTGCAGTAAAGTTTTAACCGCAGAATATAAATCTGACAATTCAAGAGACGACAGTTAACACAGAAAATCTCCCAATAACAGCCCTGTTTCTAGGAAGACACTGATCCAGGATGCCTGCTGAGGGACCTGGGGACATCTCACGGAATGGAAGGCAAGTTCAGCGTGGGACATCACCCTGGTCCTTGTGTTGGGCAGAGCAAGAGGAGAGACAGCTTGCCTGTCAGTGGCCCCTGCACTCTCACGTGGTCCAGGCAGAACTGACCTCATCAATGACTGTTGCTGCAAGCTCTACACAGGCCACCTCACCAGGTGAGTGTCCTGGACCGAGATGCCCAAGGACAGAACTCCCTGGAGTCACTGCTCTCTGGTTGCTTTGACGTGTGTCACCTGTAGCCAATATTTAAACACCTTCCCAGCGTCCCACCTGCCAGGGCCCAGCCCCACCAGGACAGCTCCCACATGTGACACACTCACTGGCTGCAAAGGCTGAACCCAGAGTGAGCCAGAGTGCAAATGTGAAACGGAATTACAAACGTTAACCTTCCTGTTTAAGTTCCTGTGACAGTGCTCATGGCTTAGAATCTGAGCACCCATATTCTGCCTGTGTTGTCTCACCCGACTAACACTCACAACCCCACTGAGGCAGGTCACGCTCAATCCCGCGCTGGCATTTGTCGGCACCCCCAGCACAGAACGCCCACAACTTCTGCACCACCTGGGCACTACCACAGTACCCACCCACACCCCAACCATCTCCTTCCTCCTCCCCAGACCTCCCCATGACTCCACAACTTCCGGTTTACCCTGGCACGGCAGGGCACCCATCGCCAAGGTCCTCATGCCCTGTCAGCCGTTAAGCTGGCTGACCCCGATGACACTGACATTGTGAATGAGAAAACAGGCTTTCGGACGTACGAGCGATTTTCCTGTCCCCACCAGGTAGCCTGCCTCCCTTTTTTAGGGCTCAGATGGCTGGCACCGATGACATCTACTTGTCACTTGTCCTTCACACTGAATGCTGAGAAGCGGCCTCCTCTGGTCTCTCCCAGAACACTACCAAGAGGCAAGTGCTTCTCAGGGGAGAGAAGACACAAAAGTTGGGCCAAGAACATTCTGGGCTCCTATGAGTTTCCCTAGTGGTGAATCACGGGAATGAAAAGACCAGGCGGCTTGTGGAGAGGACTCAGCATGTTTCAGATGAAGGCGGGATCAGCACTAGAAAACGGCCAGGACCCAGCCAGCCAGAGCGGGGTTTCCACACACCCTCCCCACATCAATGCTCTAGCTGTTCAGTGCTCACTTCCTTCCCTCTCCACTTCTTGCAGGTCAATAAACACACCGTCTTTCAGTGATTCTAAAACACACACTTTTCTCATTTTAGCGTTTCCAAAATTCTAGCCCAGACACGAACCCGGTCTTAGCTCTCTATTCTTTGCAGTGATAGGTATAATGTACTCAATAACTTAATTATTCATGAAAAAGTACTATATGCTTCTGTAGGCATATTTACTCAATTTTCTTAAACAGACCAATTTTCTGGCAAAGGTTTTTTATTTTTTTATTTATTTTTTTTGAGTTGGAGTCTCACTCTGTCACCCAAGCTGGAGTGCAATGGCATGTTCATGGCCACCCCAGCATCAACCTGCTGGACTCCAGTGATCCTTCCATCTCAGCCTTCCATGCAACCAGAACTACAGGTGTGCACTACCACACACAGTTAATTTTTTTTTTATTGTAGAGGCGAGGTCTCACCAAGTTGCCTGGGCTATTCTCAAACCCGTGGGCACAGGCAATCCTCTCATCTCAGCCTCCCAAAGTGCTGGGATGACAGGCTGAGCCACCACACCCAGCCTAAAAGTTTTTAGGTAAGATAGAAAAACAGCATCAGAATCAAGCTTTTTAAAGAAGTACACACTCATTAATGTAAACAATGGATACCAGAAATCAAGCCAGCAATATTCTAGGTAGCTGTAGGTGGAGAAACAGAGAAAGAACCCGACTGACCCCTCTGCTTCTCACTGCCCTCGTCTGGGACACTTTTCGTCTGTAACAGCACCTACACTAACCGTGCTGCTGTGGGAATGAGCATTAGCTGTTCGTGATTGACAGCATGTCTCAAATCACAAAGCCATATGCAGCTTATGACCCAATGACACAAAGCCAAAATAGATGATACATGTCTGTATGTGGATATAATAAAGTTTAAAAGGAGAAACTCCAAGGGAAAGAGGAGAAAGGAAGATTGCTGGAGCATTAATTTTCACTTCAAACACTTCTATACTGTTTGGCTGTTTTTGAGGAATATACATTATTCCTACGATCAAAACAAACAAAAAGAGGCCAGGTGTGGTGGCTCATGCCTGTAATACAAGCATTTGGGAGGCAAGTTGGGAGGACTGCTTGAGTCCAGGAGTTCAAGACCAGCCTGGGAAACATAGTAAGACTTATTTTTTCTACAAAAAAATAAAAAAATTAGCCGGTGTGTTGGTGGCACCTATAATCCCAGTGACTTGGGAGGCTGAGGCAGAAGAATCACCTGAGCCCAAGAGTTAGAGGCCGCAGTATGCTGTGACTGCACCACTGCACTCCAGCCTGGGTGACAAAATGAGACTCCAACTCAAAATAAAACAAAAGGCATGTTATAGAACACTACATAGTATATGATCCCATTTATTTAAAAAATTTTCTAAAAAAGCCCTGGAACAGGTGAAAGACCACTAACCCAGAGGACGTGAGACTGGAGACACACACAAGGACATGGATGCTAGATAAATGTAGTCACTTAATTCCACAGACATAGTGAATGTAGCTAGGTGGGAAAGATCTACCTTTGAGAGCTGTGACAACTAAAACTTATCCTCAATAATAATCATTTCAATCTTAGCTAACTCAATTTTGAGTAAATCATTACATTATTGTTGTTGTTTTTAAAGTTGGCTAAGTGGCCGGGCGAGGTGGCTCATGCATGAAGTCCCAGCTACCTGGGAGGCTGAGGCAGGAGGATCGCTTGCGCTTAGGAGGTCGAGGCTGCAGTGAGCTACAATGACACCACTAACTCCAGCTGGGTAACAGAGCAAGACCCTATATCTTAAAAATATTAAAAAAATAAATGTTTTTTAAAAAGTTTGTTAGCTGGGAGCAGAGGCTCAAGCCTCTAATCCCAGCACTTTCGGAGGCTGGGGTGAGAGGATTGCCTGAGCAATTCAAGACCAGCCCGGGCAATTCGGCGAGACCTCATCTCTACAACAAGTCAAAAAAATTGGTTGAGCGTGGTAGCGCACGCCTATCGTCCCAGCTACTTGGAAGGCTGAGGCGGAAGGATCGCCTAAGCCCAGCAGGTTGAGGTTGCAGTGGGGCCGTGAGTGTGCCACTGTACTCCAGCCTGGGCGAGAGTGAGGACTCTTGACTCAAAAAAAAAAATTTTTTTGTTAAGTGAGTTGTTAATGCAAATAAAGACAAAACGAGGGTCAATCTATTTTTAAAAATCCATTTGCAAAAAAATAAAACAAAACAAAAAGAAATGGCAAGGGCTGATTTCATCATATCTATTAATCACAAAAGTCCCGATCCAACTACAGTGCCTCACACCTGATGAGTGCTCTAACCCTCAGGACAGCGCCCCAGACAGTGCCACTGTGACTCCCGGTCCACAAATGGTTAAGGGACGCACTGTGGGTCACACCCACAGGGAAGAAGACAGCCACCTACTCCCCTGTCCCAGGCTGCTTCCCAACCCTGTCATGGTGCCTCAACTTGGCAACAGTTTGGAAACCCTAACTTCTGTTCCACAAGCAAAGTAAAAGTATTTGCTCTTATTAGCATGGAGCATCTGTGCTCAGAATACAAGTATGGGCCTTTCACATTGCTCTAAAAGAAAACTTCTTTAAGACTTGCTTTCTTAGAATAGGAGTGATGAAAGTGGGGGTGGGGGAAGGTGGGAACCTTGCTTCCTCCGGAATGAACTTGATCACTAGGGCTTTGTTTTACTTTAAGCAAATCATCTACATCCATTTATTCACTCTGCAAATATTTACTGAGCACTTAGTATGTGTCAAGAGCTTATAAAGAATTTACAAGATTCTAGGGTATTCTGCTTTTAAAGATTAACAAGTCAGTGTATTTATTTTCAGTGCCTGTTTTTATTAGCAAGATGTATCTTTACCATCAAAGGTAAAGACTACTAGTCACTGACAACTGTATTGCAAAACAAAAATACTTGTACTTGACCCTGCATCTCACAAAGGTTCATACTTACAAGACTGATGATTGCTTTTAGATAACTGAGAACCGGCAACCTCTTCTGGGAGTCTGACAAAAATAAATGTCTTGTCTTGAAGTGAGATGGGGGATGTTGGGTTATCAGAGATATTTAGTTCTGCATCAAAGTTTGGAAATTGACGTCTTGAAATTCTTGAATGAAGACAAAATATAAACACAAAGAAAATCATCACCCAAAAATGTCTGCCTATCTGATCAGCGCTAATGTCCTTATAATCATTAATATCTACTAACTGAAAACAAAGAGACAAGGCCACCCAGGCATGCATGATAAACAGTCAATGAGCTTCATAACAGAAGACCAAGAAGTCACGGTGCCACATTTCAGCAATCAATCTCCAACCCCCAACAAACTAAAAGCACCAGAGAAAACTGTCTGAGGAGTTATACCCAAGAACGTGGCCTCCTTACCTCCAGAGCACAGAAAAACCAAACCAGAAAGGTACAAGAAGTTCCCAACATACAAACGAGTTCCATTCCGAGAGCGTGTTTGTAAGTCTAATTTGTTAAGTCCACCAGGGTTAGGTGAGGTACCCAACTAACACAATCGCCTTTTAGTACCAGGCTAGACTGACACCTGGTGGAGAGGTAAAACCTTAAAACACACAGCTGTGCATCTTTAAAGTTCGTAATTTGAAGGTTTGCATGTAGGGGACTTACTGTACTAGTACTGTACTGTACTCATTTCATAGAAGGCCACTGTGAGGTCGAGTCAAGCTGCCCAAGGCCAGAGACGAGCAAGGAGCTGGGAGGAAAGTCCAGGCCCGCGGGCTCTGTATCCCTTTCTGCTTCAGTTAGTCTGGCCTCAGTGGGGCCTTTCCCACACGTTTGCACAGCACTCTTCCTCTTCTGGGTATAACGAGCACGTATATATCCTGCATTTCCCAAGTGAGCCAAGTATCCACAGCTGTTTGCCTTTGTCCCTCCTCAGCCTTCCTTCCTTCTTGTATTATCCCACAGGAGCAAATCATCTCAGGAAACAGGGAGGCATGGAGCCCCGCTCCCGAGCCTCTCCTGGGCATCTGGGAGGAGGCTGACACACCCGCAGGCCAGCAGCCCAGTCGGCAGGGGAGGCGGGGTCCTGCTGTGTCAGCGTCACCCTTCCCACACAAGAACTGAACTCCAGCATTTCCTTAACGTCTAAACACAAACTCACGTTGCCCATCCTGTCCCTGCCCATTCCTCCTCACCTCCCACTGTCCTGCCCAGGGCAGACAGGGGCTTGGGAAAAGCTGGTTTTGATTGTTCTCATTCCTACCGACATCCAGCCAAGCGGATGTTCAAGCAGCAAAAACATCATTTTGTAAAAAAAAGAGCAAAAACCAAAGCTAAATGTTGGCCTAGTGAATAAGACAGACGCCCAGTACTCCAAGGTCCCATTGTACCTGTAGATTTTAATAGTAACATTACTTAACGACAGGGATACGTTCTGAGAAATGTGTTGTTAGGCGATGTTTGTCATTGTGCAAAGACCATAGCGTGCACTATGTAAACCTAGGTGGTCTAGCCTGCTACACACCCAGCTGGATGGTCTAGCCTGTTGCACACCCAGCTGGATGTTCTAGCCTGCTACACACCCGGCTGGATGGTCTAGCCTGTTGTACACCTGGCTGGATGGTGTAGCCTGCCACACACCCGACTGGATGGTCTAGCCTACTATGCACCCAGGTGAATGGCCTACAGACCCGGGCACCTGTAACACAATGGTAAGTATTTGTATATCCAGACATATCTAAAAAAGAAGTATCCAGTAAAATTATGGTATTATAATCTTATGGGACCACCATCATAGATGTAGTCTGTTGTCAACTGAAATATCATTATGTGGTGCACGACTGTATTAAAATAAATATCGTGAAGTGGTAACAAGTGTGATTTTCTGGTGTATGCATTACAGAGAAACCAAATGCCTGGGCCCACGGAGGATCAATCCAAAGGCTTAGGGGAGATGAAGGGAAGACAAGGACCCTTCTCTATTGAAGGGGAGTAAGATGCCACTTGCTTCTGGGAGTCATATAGGAGTGACACACCACATTTGATTATTTTGCTTTGGGCTTTCTCTCACAAAAATTAGGGGAAATTTCTTCCCCGATTCTCCCTTGAGCTCAAATGAACTTAAAGTCTGTTTCTCTTGGGCTTATTCCAGTCTCAAAGCTTAATGCAACTTTAGGGAAAAAAAATATGGAACAGGCCAGGCTCGGTGGCTCAGCCTGTAATCCCAGCACCTTGGGAGGCCAAGGCAAGTGGATTGCCTGAGCCCATAGGTTCGAGACCAGTCCGGGCAACCTGACAAGACCTCATCTCTACAATAATTCAAAAACAAAAATTAGCCAGGAGTGGTAGTAGCATGCACCTATAGTTCCAGCTACCTGGAAGGCTGAGGCAGAAAGATCGCTGGAGCCCAGCAAGTTGATGCTGGGGCGGCTGTGAGTGTGCCACTGTACTCCAGCCTGGGCGATGGAGTGAGACTCCAACTCAAAAAAAAAAATGTGGTACATAAACACAATGGAATATTATGCAGTCATGCTCTCACTCATAAGCAGACCCTGAACATTTACCATAATACTATAAGAAAGAGATTGGCAGTAGCGGGACACTGCCAGGGTGCGGGGGCGGGTAGAGAAAGAGCACATAAGGGTACCTGATCCCTAAACTATGCAAAGTGGGGACCAAGGGGGACCCAAACTTCACCTGTACGATGACCACTTATGTACCTAATCCTGAATTGTGCCCCACGTCTCTAAAATAAATAAAGCTTAAGGCTTTAATTTCTATATAGTCTTTTAAAGTCAGGACCAGTGATGGTGGACCAGTAATGTAAAACATTACCCTGGCTTTTCTAACTGGGGGCAAAGGCAGACAGCTGAAAGAAGAGGTTTGCTAAAAGGAATAGTAAATCATGCTAACTCAAAGGCCAGTTTTTTTTTTTAATCTCTTATTTCCAGTACAACAGAAAGAAAATGCAAACTGTCAGTTATATGATACCTTGTAGTGTTGTCCACAATCAGCTGAGACTCTGCTCTGTGGTTTGTCTTTAGCTCGAATTTTTTTTAATCTCTTATTTCCAGTACAACAGAAAAAAAATGCAAGCTATCGGTTATATGATACCTTGTAGCGTTGTCCACAATCAGCTGAGACTCTGCTCTGTGGTTTGTCTTTAGCTCGATAGCACAGTTCCTTGACTTAAGAGTTTCAAAAAGATCTTTCAGCAAGTTGCCAGGTTCAATACTAGGTAATTGTCTAACATCACCTAAAAAGGAAAGTATACACAGACAGTAGGTTGTAGATAACCAGGAACCTAAAATTTAGAAAGTATGTTTATTTCTCCCTACTGATAAATAATATGCTATAATTATAAAGACTTATTCTAACTCAGAAAAAAGCCCAAAAAACCTTTGTTTAAAATTATTTAAGAATAGGAAGTCTTTAAAGACGTTTAACAAAAAGCAACATCCAAATTAAACAGTATAAGTCATAAAAATAGTGATAGTGCAACAAAGGTAACACAATCTAAATTGAACTACTTTCATACCTATAAACCACAAGGAAACTGTGTAGGGGCATATAGTCAGCCAACATGCTTTCTAAAAAAAAGTCCTTAGGTATTTAGCAATATTTAGCCACTTTTTCAATCTTGCCCAATGTCTTACTGAACATGGAAGACTCTATGGCCTCAAATACATAAAATAAGTGTGTAAAATATAAAATAAGCAAGCACTCCACACATTTGATAACAGATACAACCCTGTCATCTCACGGTAATGCCTTGCTCTACTAAAACCCTTTTTTGCTTGAAACAGACCCTCGAGATAAGAGAAATATGTACTGGGTAGAAACAAGGTGAACGCTTCGGCTATTAATAGAACCGACTGTTTATACGACATCCCCAGGTGCCTCAACAAAGTATTTGCATTCAACTGAATTTTCACATTGCGAGATTGTGTGATTAAACCACACAATCTGCAGACCGCAATTCCCCAACAGAACCTAACCGAACATTGTCAGAGCAGAAAGACTTAGAGGCTGCTGAGGTCAAATCTGAGTTACTGGCTTACCTCATGAAACTGTTTTAAGGGTCTGTAATTCAGACTTGTCACCATTCCAAATGAACTACACTCTGACTTGCTCTGAGCCTGTGGCACTTTTACTATTTTAATAGCCATCATTTAAGCAATTAGCAGTTACCCTTCCCAACCCTATGCCATCCCATGTGAGCCCGCCATTATCCCGGCCAAAACAGAGCACACCCAAGCTGATCGGGACAGTGGCTGGATGTCACTCCATGGGGCTCCGGTGTGGTGGAATGGTGTCAGCACCCGCCACCTGCAATACTCGGAGCTAAACATTAGAGTTCCCACAATATTTTAACTTACCAAGAATAATAAGCTTGGAAAGTCTGGAGTGCTCAAGTAATAGATTTAAAACCGACTTGAAGATTCCGACAGACACCAAACTCCCTTCATCCACAACTAGAACTCTAACCGAAGAAAACTTCCATGGCTTGTCCTTGGTCATCATCTTTTCTTTCCAAAAATAGAAGCTGTAATTGACCTACAAGCAAAGTATGGCATTTCTAAAATCAGGTCATAAAATGTCTTAAAAAAAATTAGAGCAAGTTATTTTAAACTCTTAAATGGTGAGGATCAGAAAACAGAGAAAAGACCAAAGAAACAGACAACATAAAAGGATGAATACTCAGTGAAGATAAGATCAAGTAAATCGGAAAATGACAAAGATCAAATAGTTTGAGAAACTGCTTACAAATGAGTGTGTTCAATTTCCTCTGTTGCCCACAGCACACGCCTACAAACATCCCAACTCTCCTCCCCTTCCTCTTGACCAGAGGCAGTCCTTTCCAGTCCCAAAGACCCCATCTCATGGTCGGCTGAGACTCCACTCCAGCCCTCCTGGCCTCCAAGTCTCTCACTCCACTCTGGAAACAAAGTGCTGCTCTCTGGACCTAATTATGAAAATACCACTCTTCCTTTCAAGTATTCTAAACTTCCTCACCTCCTTGACTTTTTCCCAACTACTGCCACCACCAGCAACAAAACAAGTAACAAAACTACCTATCACAGACGTAATACACTTTATTATTTAAAATATAGATGGGAAAAAAGTTGGTTGTAAATATGCAACCAGAGAAAATTCAATATTTTTGCATATAGCATTCCATAGTCTTTTTGTCATAAGTGTGGATATTTACAGACTAGGTGTCCTTCTGCAAATCTGAAATTCAAAATGCTCCCAAACCCTTAAGTTTCTGAGCACCAACATAACGCTCAAATGTAATGTTCACTGCAGATCTTTAAAACAGCACCACATCATATCTTTATCTAATCTTTCAGCTAAAACGAGATCCAACATATCCATCAGGCAAAGCCTTCACGGCTCCCACCAAATGCACCAGTTCCCTTCTCTCCGTGGCCGTGTCTCACGATAACATTCAGAATTACCTCTGGTTGTTCCCTTCTCTTACTTGAATACACGATTCATCATCTCAGAAATGCCCAACTGACACCATCGCAGTAGTTCCAGGGCTACCACCTCTGGACAGGACCCACCACAAGCACCGCGATGATGCCACTGGCTTCCCAGCCAGGGTCCCCTGCCCACAATGTCAAACAGGATGGTAAGATGCAGGACACCCAGCGAAGTCTGAACTGCAAATGCATACAGAAGGCTTTTTAGCACAAGCATGGCCATAAGATACTCAGCACCTACTTATACTAACAAGGATTCACATGGGTATGTGCCAACCCTGGCGAGCCTAGTCCCTGCTGGCGTGAATGGCACTCCAGGGCACTTCTGTTCTGCCTCCCTCTCCTGAGCCTACTCGTGGCTTCCCAAGCAGACATTAAGGTATTCCCAATTAATCAGCGTGGACAGGAGATGAAACTCCCTTCTACTTCCATCCTTCAAACTAATCAGTTGAAGGCATCGTATAAACACCCTAGGCTGATCGGAGACCCTTTCACATGAGCTGCAACCACGCTTGCACTGGTTCATTATTCATGTGAGTAATACAGGGGATGGCAAGACAATTCAGGTGGCGCGGGGCCCTAGGATTCTACATGGCCTTCCTTAAAATCACTTTCGGCCGGGCTTGGTGGCTCAGGCTGTAATCCCAGCACTTCAGAGGGCTGAGGCAATTGGATTGCCTGAGCCTGCGGGTTCAAGACAAGCCCAGCCGGGCAACTTGTTGAGACCTCGTCTCCACAATAAATAAAAAGTTAGCTGGGCATGGTAGCATAAGCCTGTAGTTCCAGATACTTGGAAGGTTCAGGCAGAAGGATCACCAGAGCCCAGCAGGTCGACGCTGGAGTGGTCATGAGCGTGCCACTGCACTCCAGCCTGGGCGACAGAGTGAGACTCCAACTCAAAAAAAAAACAAAAACCACTTTCATACTCTCACTTAGGACCTTAACAGCTCCCTAGTAAGTCAAGTTCAAGTTTCATTGCTAGATGTGCAACATCTACAATGAACAAGGAAACCACGGCACCATGGAAAGATCAATGGGCTGGGGGTTGGGAAACCTCCACACATGCCCCAGTTCCACACCTGAGATCTGGGGAGAGGTGGTGTGCACCCTACACTCAGTTGGCCCCCTCTGGAGGGGGAGGTCACGTCACTCACCCACGTCACTTTACAAGGGTAAGCCAAACGCTTGACTCACTCGGAAGCTCAAATTCACTGTCCAAGCCAAGTTTCATTTCCATTATTCTGACGGATGGGCCTCCTTCTAGTCACTGAGGTCACCCCTGTACCTCTCACACACTCCCCAGGCCTCTGGAAGGCCTAAGGAAAGCGCCCTCCTCTCCCCATCCCCACATCCCCTGGGGCCCGTCCACGGTTCCCTTCTTCAAAACTCCCCCAACCCCAAGCTCCGTCAACTACGGAATGGCAGGTCAGGGCTATTGCAACGCTGCCTCTCTGTGACTCTCCGTTACAGTCAATGCCATATTGTCCAAGGATATTAACAAATCTGGAACTGTGGTCGCTATGTGCCACTCTCTGTGGGTTTTAGTCTCTGGTGAGCAGGGCTTGAGTTGGGGGCAGGGAATGAGAAAGAAGACAAGAAATAGTGGGACTGGGAGGTCTCTTTTTTGGATAGGTAAGAGTAATTTTATTTTTATAGCATGCCCTTTATATAGGGCCAAACTATATTTTTAACAAGAAATGTTTTAATGCTTAAGTATTTTTAGCATAATATCTGTGTTTATTGATATTGAATAATGTTATTGTTAAAATAGGCAACATTTAGACTGGGCAGACATGAGGTCATGCGGTATTGTTTTTATCAAGTCAACTTTTTTTGTTGGTTTGTTTTTTTTTTTTTT